GGAAAACCATCTCAAGTGAGACAGTATCAATAACATGGGTTGTAGGCACAAGCTTAACTCTGCCCTCAGAGAATGAAACACAACAGGGTTTCACACATTTGCTTATCCAGAATTGCACTGGCTTTTCTACACTTCTATACTACACTCATAAGAGGATAAATAACATTTTTTTCCCCCACTTCTGTCCACCTATCTTAACTTCTCTGCAGCAAGGTGCCAGATAGTTATAGACTCAAGACATGACTTTGTCTTTGTGAAAACACTGTGGTTCCACTGGGGAGGAACTTGCATCTCAAGCACCTGGAGGGACAGGTCCCACCAGAAGGTTCAACAGATGCATAAATAGTTGCAGAACCTAAACATATATGCTGTAATACATGCAATGAGTCCACATAATGGATAACAGAAAGGAAAACTGTACATGGAAAAAAGGACTAGCTGCATACTTCAGCCATTACAGGGCAAATAAAAACAGCTGGCTTCTACTAGCCTCCTAGTTACAACTAGCTTACAGCTTCCCTCAGGTATCCCAGAACAAAAGGAGCTCAAGAAGATATTTATGGCTACATTTCATAAGAGATATCAAGAACGAGAGGATGTCAAAAAGACAATCCAAAGAGCTGCGCGGAAAGGCTGGGTTATTGGTGCTAACACTGCTGGTTAAAGCAGATGCCCTAATAACAGGGGCTAGAAACAGCCGCCGTGCGGCATGGCAGCTATTGTGTCACGTACTTGGGAATGGTCCACTGCTGAGCCACACGCGGAAGGGTGGGGAAGGGCGGGCACGCTGTGGATCACTTCAGCACCCTGCTCTGGTAAATCTGCAACTGCCCACATGCAAAAGCCAATAGAATGGGATTATAAAGTGGTTATAACGGCTAATAATGAAGCCACATTATACGTTTAGCAAGACTCTCGCAATAATATACTTGCACACTGTTTAGGGACCTCGCTGGATCAAGCTATGACACATAATACACACAAATATCTATGCAAATTATTTTTAATCTATAGACAGATAAAAGAGACTACACAAATACAGGAAGGAGCTATAACCATACAAAAATGTAATTTTCTAATGCAAAAACATTTTAAATAACCAATTGAGGGTTGGGGGAGGGGTTGGGTGTGTGGGTTTTGTTGGTTTTGGTTTTTTTTAATAATAAACTGACACAAAGGAGAAGTAAAATTTAAAATACACCTTGCAGCATTTGCTGACCTTCCAAGCTACAGTACACCGAGCAATCCCAGGCCAATACATGTATTCAGAATTACATCAACCTTTGTCATTTACATTCTTCTTGAATTACATTGTATTAACACCTGAAGCTTATGTCACACTTCTTTTGGCAGAATCATTGTAAGTGATTGTCATGGTTCCCTGTCCAAACCTCATACTCAGTATTGAGAGCAACACTCCTGATTCCCCATCACAGGCACAAGCGTTTTAAAAGAGGACATGGGACTCTCTTGGGCTAGATACTGCATCCAGATACGTAAGAATAAACGGTGCCTTTTCTCTCAGAGACAACCTCAGATTTTGAGAGAAAACTATCAAGAAGCAATGAACAGACAAATGAAGCAGCGGCCTCAAACAGAGCTGTCCAAGCAAAGACATAATGAACAAACCAAGTGACTCTCCAGGAAGAGTGGAGCTTTTAGAGATCTTTAAAACTTCACTGTCAAAGAGTTGCTGTGACTAAAACCTTCCACTTAGTTTCAGGGGCTAAAGCTTTTGGCACTGTTGATGTTCGCCCTGTAAAGCTACATCCTCATTTACATTGGACTTTACCAAGGCTTCAGCTGAGCCCTGTAATTGTTAAACACATACAAATTAAAATTACATTAAGACACAGCTAAGTACAAATGAGGAAAGTCATACAGCTGCCAAAAATACCAGAAAAACTTTTCCCACAGGGTATTAACTCGCAATAAATCTCATTTGAATAAAAGGTCAAATTTGACAGATTGTGGGGAAAAGAAAAAAAATACCTGACACTATGTGATTTAAGGATTGATCTTCCTCCACTAAGGTCTTTTAACATCAACAAGTACAAAAGTACATCTATAATTTTCAATTAGTTATGTTCTATGAACAAAACCGGTTTCAGCAATAGACTTTTGATATAAAAAAATTGTAAATATTGCTGTTTGTATTAAAACCACTTAAATTTTATTTTTGAAATTACCTTTTAATTAGTCCTTACAATTTAATCAGGATCAAGCCAAAATGGGAAAAGAAGTAGAGTGATATTTAAAAGAAAATTTGTTCTTCCATGCTGAAAGTCCTTAGTGTGAACATAAGACAAGAACCCGAGAGAAAAAAAAAAAAGAAAGTATTAATGCATTAAATTGAGTGAAATGCTTAAGAGTGACTGGTATGCAATAGGGCAGAAAATACCACTCACTAACAACTTCCGCACTCAAGTTATTAAGCTTTATTCCTTCCCTGCCCTGCTTAAAACAAAAAAAAAAAAACAAACCACCCCACTTGACATGGGACTTGCTAAAGCTTCCCAAGTCTCATAAAATATTGGCCTGTAGTCAATACATCCTCTGATAGTAAAGCCCAATGAATTCCCCAGAGATTTGAAGTCACTAATGATGGAAAACTTTATCTGGACATCTGAACATAAACACTTGTGTATTTCCCACAATTTAAGAGTACAACATGCTAGGGAGAAGAAAAAAAATAGCGGTCCAACTTCCAAATGGGAGAGTTTATGACAGGAAAGCTATTTCGTTGCACCTCTCAGCTCTTCAGAGCAAAGTAAAACCTGGAATGCAAGGATGACAGGAGGTTCTGCGGCAAGGGCACTACAGAAGAAAACACATCTCAGAAAGCAGTCCTAGCTACCTACTGGGGACTTTGCAGAGTCAGTAACATAGCTAACCACAACGCTTTCCAAGGATATTGCGAAGACTGAAAGAAAATAGCCAAAGCAAGACGGTTTTATTCCACATAACGCCATCTCAGATTGCTCTAGCTCCTAGCTTTTACTCCAAATATGTAACGCATCTTTTAAGCTCTAAACCTAATGCTTATATTTCAAAAAAGATGTTAACAGGCAACTGATGTGAAAGTACACACAAGATGAAGAAAAGTACCCACTGTGCCAGTGAAACAACCCTCCTCTTCTGTGACAAGTTTAACTGCCAGGCACGTCACCAAACAAGGCCAGTACGAAGAACCACAGAGTGTCCCTGACTCTTTCAAACTAGCCAATACCAAAAAACAAGACACATTTGATATGCAGAAATGAAAAAGAATAGAGAGAAGAAACTATACTGCATCAAGCTATGGGCTGAAACGAAAACTTACCCTAAAAATCTAAACTTCAGCAAGGGGGTTGGAAATTAGAACCAGATCTTGCGTTTGGCTTTTCTGCCTATAATGAACCAAGCCAAAAGCCCATATCCAAACACACCTCTGCTCTAAGAGTTCGAAATCCAGACTCAAGTTTTGCAGCCTGGCTTCCTCTGTGCTCACCGCTGAATGCGTCACTGCTGCCAGAGAGTAACAGCACCTGACAAGGGAACTCACTTTCATACAGGAACGATTAAAATACATGCACAGTAATACGCCTAATTGCCCACAGTGAGCTTGAATGCAAACATGTAACAACAAAGTAACCACACATGGAAGCTCAGAACCTGGTGTGCTCCAATTCCGTGATGGCTGCACTCTGGACAAAAATTTGTACATGAAAATTGTTTTTGTAAAACCTCAATCCAGGAAACACATGCAATCTTCTCTTGCTGCACTGGTCTGTTTTGGCAAAGATATTCCCAGACCTAACAGGATTCTCCAAGCTGTTCTTAATTTCATTCACATTTATAAAATCAGCCTAGGCTTTGCAGCATCTCTGTTTCTCCTCTAATACTTAACACGTAGGCTTGCTCTACTGTACTTCCTCAAGCCAACAGTAGTAGGGGAGAATCTGTTCCTGCATGAGGCAGCCTAGAGATTGCTCTCAATGGGAGGTATTCGAGGAATTCTGTAGGTTGCTTATGCTCAGTTCAAATTCCCAGAAAGGCCGTTTCATAACACGTCCTGGGGGCAGGGGAAAGACGTTTAGTTGTATTTAAAGCCTGAATCCTCTGACAGCAGTAACACTGTGGAAATAATACAAAACTTAAACTTTCTCCTCCTTTTAAGGAAAGTATCTGCATTCCATTGCTTCAGCTATGATCTCTTGAAACAAGACCAACTACAAGCTAAACATATTAGGGTGTTGAATCTATTATGGAGAAGTTGAAAACAAAACAGGCACCTGTGGCACATACATATAGGATTTTTTTTTTTTTTTTTTAAACCAGCCACCCATAACATCTATCATAACATCACCAGAACATGAGCATTAGCTTTGCCGCTAACACTCAGAGAAACATACTGCTCTGGAGAACGCTGGAGAATATATCAACACCATCAAGCACATCAGCCTCCATTTATGCAACCTTAAAGCTCTTATGACACACTCATTATGACTTTCATTAGACTTTTCCTCATGACAGCATTGTTTTAACCAGGGTTTTTAGGACACTGACACTGTGATAATGACAAATATGTGGCCAAGATTTGCAGGATGAAGTAATAAACATTACATGCTATTAAAATGCAGTAGTTAGCTGTCAGCCAACAATTCTCCAGATCCCCTTCCCAATTCAGAACACAGTTGTCTTCAGGCTCACACAAAGGCTGCGGCAAGACAGATAATCCAAGATACTCCAAAGCACCCCCAACCATCACACTTTATTGTCAAATCCTATACTTCCCTGGGCTGTTTAACATACTTTAAGGGTAATATAACTAATATAACCTAATTTTAGCACACAAAGAAATCAATTTCTTGGCCATTCTCCTCAACTTGGAACACAGCAAGCCTGATTCATACTCCCCAGATTTGCTTCTCAGAGATAGATTCTGTTTATTTGTTCTCTTTCAGGCATGTGGAACTTCACTTACCAATGCAGGCATGGACTCTCACTGACAGCTGGGTCCTCAGAATTATACTGTGTTTCTTGCCCCTCCTAAAAAGAGAAGAGAAAAACACATATAAAAGGTGTAGGGAGGAGGTAGAGGAGTTGAGAATGAAGGAATGAAATTGAGCCTAGGAAAAAAGGGTGGGGGGTGAGGGAAGGTATTACAAGTTATGTCTTTGTTTCTCATCATCCAACTCTATTTTAATTGGCAGTAAATTAATTTTCCACAAGTCAAGTCTGTTTTGCCTATGACAGTAATTGGTAAATGATCTCCCCATCGTTATCTCAATCAACGAGTTTTTTCATCTTATTTTCCCTCCCTCTTGTTGAGGACACGGAGCAAGAGAGCGGCTGGGTGGGCATCTGGCCAAGGTCAACCCACCACAATGACTCTCTAGAAATCCATATTACAGAAGTACCAAGTGATGACTGCATGTTTTAATCTTCACAGAAATATTTTAAAGCTAGGTATAGTAAAATATGAAAAGAAAATGCAAGGTCAAACAAGAAGTTGCTTACACTTTCACAAATCTGCTCATGTACCCTAATGGGTCTTGAAAGCACAAAGATAGATCTGTTTTTCATGCAATGAGGCAAAATTGAGTCCTCCTTCACTCTGGCACTGCCTCAGTTTCATCCCGGTCTTCAATAGAATGACTTTATCTTAATTAGCTGCTACATTTCACATTTGTTTTTCAGACAAATTAGTATTAGATGCATCTTTTCAATCTGGACAAGAGCATCATTCTTGATTTCTAGGCGCTCCACCCGCAAACTGGCATCAGGACACGGCCAGCACCTTGCCTCTGCACCCAAACCTGCTCACTTGATGGAAGGCAGGAAAATAAGAAAAGCCAAATGTCTCTTCTATTTGTACAGCAGCATATTCTCTCTCTTTTCTCTGAAACTAAAGATGTAATTCCTGGACAACCAGCTCTAGGTGGCCCTGCTTGAACAGGGTGGTTGGACCAGATGACCTCCAGAGGTCCCTTCCAACTTCAACCCTTCTGCAATTCTGTGAATTTATCGTGGGAAAACATGCAAGAAGCAAAACTGTTTTTAGAACACATTCAGATGCAGTTTAGTTTGTGTCATGCAAACTCTAGACCCACTTTTATATACAAATTCAAAGCAAATTAAAAACCAGCACAACCTTCCTCAGTTATATGCATTATGATTCTGCTGAGATATTTCAGGGCCAACCCTTTCGCAGACACCCAGCAGAATTTCCCACTGGCTGTAACTTCATCAGAACAAACCCACTATTTTCCAGACAACAACAAAGGTTCTTCCCCACTTTGCTGTATTCCTGCCCACAGTTGTTTTGAGGAACAAAAATATTTTTCATTGATTTCAACAAGAAAAGAACATGTTTTATACCATCTCCCAAGAAATTTGCAGGGGAAGGCAGGTCAGTGAAGCAATGACAAACATTTTCAGAAAAATATCACTCCCAGAAGAATACAGGACAAAAAAAAACCCCAAAACAACACATTAAGCACCTGAAAAAATTGGTTAATGTGGAACTGTGTACCTGGTAATAAAGGACTCCATTCCAGTTTCAGAATGGCAACCTTTCTCTATAGGTTAAAAATAAATAAATAAAATCAAACTTTAAATGAAATTGCTCTTTGAAGGGTCTGCTTGAACAGCATTAGAATAAAGCAGGAAAAGCATGAACCTTCTCTTAATGCTGCTGCTGGTTTACAGGTCTTTTGAAGTGCCAAGCAGCAACATGCTATCTCCCACAAGAGCTGTCCGCACTTTAGATTTTAAAGTTTCCTGGAGCAATTCCAGGTTTAGGACTGACTCTCTGCCCACCTAAACTCCTCCTGCCAATTCAGCTGGACAGAGCCTTTGCCCGCGCGCATGTCCTGCAGATTGCTAACGGCTGCCCCTTCCCACAGGAGTGTCAGGACACCTCTGGAACATTTAATTTGCAAAGGACCTGAGGAATCTTTGACAGAGTAGCAAACTTAAAATACCAATACGAGCATCTCTTGTTGATATATCTCCTCACTTACACAAGAGCTGTTGTATTCTTACTAGGGTACACTGTGTTTCTTTGAAATGCAGTAAAATAAAACATTTCTAAACCACTCCCCCTCCACTAGTACTTGAGACAAAAGGAAGAAATCTCTCCTATGGAAACAAAAGAGGAACAGCTCAGGGATTAAGGTCTCCGCCTGGGACAAAGAAGGACCCATTTTCAGTTTCCCTGTTGCCGCAGCTTCCCTGCACAGTTGTGAGCAAGTAAGGTAAGGCACAACAGAGGTGCCTATGTGCCACACTGAAAGCCAGACCTCAGCTACTCTGAGGATGTGAGTTTAGTTTCTCTATGCCTTGCGTCCCCATCTACAAAACAGGGACCGTGGCAGCTGCCCATCTCCTGCTTCTGTTAGGACTCGGGTCTTGCCAAGCCCTTATAAAACATTGCTGGTACTTGAGCACCGTACAGTCCTCACAGAAGGTCTACACAAGTGATTTTAAGGGGTGTATAGATTAAAAATTAGTAGATGTGAGGGGCAAGATTAAACAGCTGTTTATTATTATGCCATTATTATTTTTCAGAAGACAACCTACAGTAAAATATTTCAAGTAGCTGCAAATGTTATCTTTCTCTCTGAATCAAACACTTGACCAGAAGATCATGTCTTCAAAAATAAGGAGATGAAATGTAGCAACAGAGATTTCTAGTTAAATTGGTCTCAAAAAGCAAAATTGCTCCCCCCCCTTGCTCCTAAAAATTGATTGCTGACTTACGGGGAGGGGTTTCAAGTAGAAGAAAGCAAAATTTATTTGCTACTGAAAGGAAAGCACGGCCATTCCAGCTGCTGCAGCCTCACAGGTGGCCTGTTGCTCTGCAGGCTGCCCACAGGCTGTGGGAGCAAACAGCTGACTTACTTGGAACCAGCTACCATTTCAGTGCAGGGGGAGCACTGAGGCACTTCTACTCAGACCTTCACTGAGCAAGGAACACCAGCAGATTCACCCTTGGTTTTGCAAGCCCTGCCAACCTGCATCACCCATGGGTATGTCTTCCACTCTATGCTCTCCATATGATTTCTCTTCTCTGACCATTGCCTTACCATATTTTTGCTCTTCGGAGACTACAGGATGGGGCAGGAAGAAGAGGGGGGCTTAAAACTTTCAGATAAGCATCAGCTAGACATCCTCTATAGCACTGGAACATCAGGAAAAACAACATAATGGTATAGAAGAGTCAGTGCATATCTGACCGTCAAAGCAAGTGCAAGGTCCTTGGGCTCCACAGCCAGGCTGACTAGGAAAGAATAAAACCATACTGCAGACTGAGCTGTGCAAAGCTGCCTGCGAAGACTTCTGTCAACAGCCATAGAACAGGAAGCAGGAGGAAAAGGATACCCATTTTCAGTTCTTGCTGTAAGGCTGACAAATAAACAAACACACAGAAGAACAACAAAAAATCTTGTATGCCATTACACAGTACCTGCATATAAGATATTTTCTGTGGGAGCACTTGGAACCTCTTTAGTTTGAGATCCATCTGCTTATTCCAAGAAAGGAGAAGAAAAATGAAAATGAGGACCAGACTACTATGGGAGAGGAGGTCCCAGGGAGGTGGGGTTGCTATCAAAAAGCAAAGACTAGAAAAAAGATCAAGAAGCCTGGAGTACTTTGAATTACAGGCACCTCTGAAAGATGCCCAGCCAAGAATCCAGTAAGCCACTAACTTGGCTGCCATTGCTCACATCAAGAAGCCTATTTCACAGGCCCTTTGGGTTATTTTTTTCAGCTTTTTTCCCCACTTGGTTTGTTTGGTTCTTTGTTTTTCTTTTGGGAGGGCAGGGGCACGAGCACCCAGGACTCTTGAGCAATTTTGTCCAAACCAATCTTACACTGCTAATCTTGCCCTTTACTATGCCCCCTGCTCTTCCCAACACCTGATCCAGTACAGAAAACTGCTTCTCTTGACCTCCCTTTCTTGATGGACTTGTTTGCCAAGCCTCACCTAAGGGCAGTCTCATCTACAAGGGCACACAACAGAGGTAAAAATGACTATGAGGTGCTGTGACCCTTCATATATGCTCCTCGTCCCTCATGTCATTGAAACGTCTGGAAACGGGAAATAATTTTGCTAAATTCTTTGGATTAGATGTTCTCTTCCACGAAACTGCCTGCAACTGATAAGCTGCAGTTGTATCCTTCCAGTTACTCGACAAGGAAAGAGCAAATTAATGCAGCGTGCAACCAACAGAACAGCTAACGGTTTCACCTGATCTCAAGGTTTCAAAGCTGTTGGAAATTTAGAGCACCCATCCTCAAAGGCAACATCTCACGTTAAGGTCCCAAGACAGCTGTGCAATTAAATTTCTCCTTCTATACACAACCTCAAATGCAGGAGTAAGCCCACTGACCTTGACAGAACTACTCATAGGCTATTCGTAACTTCAAGGCATGTTTTTTTGAGCAAGGAAAAATGACCTATTTCAAATGCAGGTAAGTGTGTAGCACCTTCATTTCCTGGTCCATAATTCGTTTTACTATTGATGCCTAAAAATTTAGTAAAGAAAAGAGAAGGAGGGTGGCACCAGTTTGCCTAATAGATACAATTTAAAAAAAAAAAGCAAAAACCCCACAACTAAGAAAAAAAAAATCCCACACCAAAAAAAACAAAACCCCAACATTACATTTGAGGCAAATTTCTTCACAATGCCAACTGAAATCCCATTCTCCAGAAACACCGACAAAGTAATTCAAAACTAAAGACGCTCAGTGAGGAAGAAGCTGATAGCAAAAGAAGAAGTAGCACAAGTCAGGAGAAGAATGTGGACACAGTGACGCAGGAAGGAGGTTCTAGGAATTAGGCTGAGCCAGAAACAAAACAGCATGAGAGAAACAAGGACAAGTCCTCCCCAGATTTAATTCCTTTCCACTGAGCAAAAGGCTCTACCTGTAGTTGGGGTGAATTTTCCAGTACAGACATTAATTTACTGGAAAATCCTAGTAAGGGACAAGGAAGTTACCTGCAGTGCAGGTCAGAGCTTTAAAACTTGCTCTCACTGCAG